TATAAAAAAGTAATACCCCTAACTCTGATAAGTTAAGAAATAGAGAGGGAATAGAAATCGCCCTCATAACTGAAAGTATTTTGAGAGAGTTGTATAGGGAATTGCCTGACATGTGTAAGTTTAACGATTATTAGATGTATATTTTGATCATAACAACCTATTGGGATTAAATACACGTACACAAATAACATATTTTATCAGCGCGTCGCTATATATAACGATTTTTAGATGTATATTTTAATCATAAGTACCTAATGGGAATAAATATACGAGCACAAATAACCTATTTTATCAAAGCGCCGCTGTATAGTGGACCCATTACTGAAACAATAAAATTTTCAACACTTTTTTTCGGTTTAGAAATGGCTGTAAATTCAAATCCTGAATAAACCAAACCCGTTTAAATTATAGCTATTTGATTAACCTATCTGGCAAGGAATTGTGTTTGTCCTCTAGGGGTTTTCTATGAGTATTTCTGGTTGGATTATTCGGTTGAAGGTTAAGTGCATGCTGGTCTACCTTTCTCTCTCTCTCTCTCTCTCTCTCTCTCTCTCTCTCTCTCTCTCTCTCTCTCTCTCTCTCTCTCTCTCTCTCTCTCTATATATAATATATATATATATATATATATATATATATATATGTACACACACACACACACACACACACACACACACACACACACACACACACACACACACACACACACACACACACACACACCACAAAAATATATACACATGCATGCAGCCTATATATACATACATACATACATACATACATACATACATACATACATATATATATATATATATATATATATATATATGTATATATATATATATATATATGATATATATATATATATATATATATATATATATATATATATATATATATATATATATATATGACATATATATGATGATATATATGTATGATATATATAATGATATATATGTATATATATATATTTGTATATATATACATATACACATGTTTGTATGTGTGTGCGTATGTTTGTGTATACACAATGTTAACCTCACACACTCATGCAGACTTTGCATCTGTTCCTCCTCTGCTTGTGCCCCCCCCCCCCCCCCCGCTTTCTCCCGGCCCGCCCCTCACCTGTTTCGCTTTAACCGTAGTACCGCATATCTCGCCAATCATTTATCCCGCATCAGACCGACTAATACGTACGACTCCGCTTTCTAGACACCATCTCATAACGCCAGCCAACGACACCATATCCCTCGCCACGCGGTGATTGAACGCAAACCACGTTAAACCGATTCTGATTGAAGCAAGGATACGAACACAAAGCAATTCCGAGAGCCCCGTCCGCC